TTCCATATTAATAAACGAGCGCTATCTTCTATTTTCCATATTAATAAACGAGCGCTATCTTCTATTTTCCATATTAATAAAGCTATCTTCTATTTTCCATATTAATAAACGAGCGCTATCTTCTATTTTCCATATTAATAAACGAGCGCTATCTTCTATTTTCCATATTAATAAACGAGCGCTATCTTCTATTTTCCATATTAATAAAGGAGCGCTATCTTCTATTTTCCATATTAATAAATGAGCGATATCTTCTATTTGAAATATTTTCCCCAGGTAAACCTTCAATGTTTATTATGTGTTCATTTAAATGGTTTTAATATTTCATTAGATCTCAGTGAACTTTCACTGTATTCAGTATTTGAACTGAAACACTAACTTTAATTGTCCTGATACTTTCCTACTTTAATCTTTGTTTTCTTATACCTACAAGATTTTTTTTTTAATCATAATACTTCAGTGAAGCACTTTGCATGAGAACATTTCGCAGTATGTAACATATTCTGAATGGTTCACAACATTTCCCATTTTTTGACCCCATTTTTTCTTGAGCAAATTTTGGAGAATGTCTAATAAAATCTCTTCTATTCTTACATTATATGCCATTATAGAAATATGTCGTCTGTATGCGTTGTTTTATGTGACAGCATCAAAAACAATTTGAGTTGGACATACCTAAAAACTGACACGATAGATATAAATAGACCATTAAAGAACTCAAAAATCAAAATGAAAGTTTGAGAGGAATATTTTTAAGGGAATTAGATTAGACGAGGCCTAAGACAAGGAGACTCCGTGTATTGTATGCTATTTAACATAACATTAGAGAATAAGAAAGAGAAAGAGAGAGAGAGAGGGGGGGAGGTTATAAGAATCATACATAATGACAACCGCGGAATAATTATAATGTATTTTCTGAGCCACAACCAATATGAACTGCATCCAACCAAACTCTTCTGTACCTTGCAAATCTTGCTGACAAAGCACTGTTAAGGAAAGTAGTAACGACTTATCAAAAGGCTTTTATAGAATTAGAAGACGTGTCACAACAAGCAGGCTTGGAAGTTAGCAATCAATAAAACTTTATTCATGACTTTGTTAAGACAAGAGCAGCCAGGTGAAACCATTAAAATTAGAAACCGGACTTATGAAAAAGTTAATCAATTCAAATATCTTGGATATTTAATAAAAAGAAAGAAATGAATTACAAACATATATATATAAGAAAGAATATCGACCGGAAATAGGGCAAGGTTTAGCCTGGTCCAGGGCATTAAGCAGCCCACCTACTATCGCAGCGGCCACATCATCGACTGGGTGGTGTACCGTGATGACGACCACTTGATGGACAGCTGTACTGTGAGTCATATGCTCTCCTCTGACCATGCAGCTGTGCTCACTACACTCAACGTAGTTCCCCCAAAGAACCCACCTGTCTACAGGACTGTGCATGACATAAATGCTATAGACAGAGCAGCCTTCAAAGCCGGCATTAAGACAATGCTTCAATGGCTAGGTGCTGAGCTCAGCGCTCAGTATCTGGACGATGGCCTCCGAGCACTCTTGGACGAGCACGCCCCTCCCATGGCGCGACGTGTCCCGACTGGTCGCTCGTCGCCATGGTATGCAGGCGTTAGTGACCAACTCCATCTTGCAAAGCTCGTGCGAAGACGCGCTGGCCTGAGTGTCGACAGACAGATCTTTGGACAGCGAAGGAGGCGGTGGCAGAGATTGTACAGAAGGCAAAGGATGACTACTGGAGCTCAAAATTTAAATCATGTGCATCAACCAAGGCGCTTTTCAGCGCTAGTCACCGTCTTCTTGGCAACAGCAATAATTTCACCCTCCCTACCGACATTGCACCAGAGCAACTCCCTGACGCCTTTGCGGAATTTTTCATCACCAGGGTGCAAATGATCATGGAGGAGCTAGACAGTGCGACCCCTACACCTTCCTCACCGTTCTCGGAGGACGTTAGTCAGACAGAATCATTTGATAGATTCCTGCCTGTGACTGAGGATGAGGTGAGGCGAGTCATCATCAGGTCTGCTCCCAAGTCTTGTGCTCTCGACCCGATCCCCGTCCCAATACTTGTAGAATGCCTCGACGTCCTCCTCCCAGCACTCACCTCCATCATAAATTATTGTATTCTCTCTGGCATCTTCCCTCACATTTTTAAACGGTTGATAGTCCTGCCACTCCTAAAGAAACCCTCACTTGATCCAAACACACTCAAGAATTACCGCCTCGTCAGCAACCTCTCCTTTCTCTAAAAAATCATAGACAAACTCATACTCTCTCAGCTCTCAAACTATCTTCACTCTCGCAATCTCTATCCTTCCTCTCAGTCCGCCTACCGACTTGGTCATAGCACAGAAACAGCACTGGTCCGAGTCATTAGCGACCTCCTGCGCGCGATGGACGATGGCAAACTCTCTATTCTCACTCTGTTAAATCTCTCTGCTGAATTTGATACCATTGACCACCAGATTCTTCTTGACCGCCTTCATCTATCTTTCGGACTTACTGGCTCAGCTTTAAACTGGTTTCAATCATATCTTTCTGACAGAACTCAAACAGTCTCTATTTCCAACCGCTCTTCCAAACCTTCAGCCCTGTCTATTGGAGTTCTTCAAGGATCGGTCCTTGGGCCGGTCCTTTTCATCCTCTACACTAAACCTCTTTCATCTCTCATTATCCACCACTCAGTTTCCAGTCAATCCTTTGCTGATGACACTCAAATCAGTGACTCCTGCTTTCCTAATCAACTTGATGCCACAATCCTTCGCATACAGGAGTGCGTGGACGACGTAAAGCACTGGATGACTTGCAACAAACTGAAGCTAAATGATGATAAAACGGAAATCCTTCTCATCCACTCTCAAAGCAAACCTCTCCCTCCATCCGCTCCTTCTTCTATATCTTTTGGCAACTCTGACATCACACTCTCTTCCTCTGCCAGAAACCTTGGAGTCCCGCTTACAGACATACTCTCCATGGACAAACATGTCACGAATATATGTAGATCAGCATACAATGAAATTAGAAAAATCAGCACCATTAGACACCTCCTTTCCTTTAATGCCACAAAAACTCTCGCCTCTTCACTCATTCTTTCAAAATTTGACTACTGTAACACTCTTCTCGCAGGCATTCCTCAACATTACATAGACAAACTTCAGAAGGCACAGAACTCAGCATGCAGACTCATTTTTAAATCAAAGAAACATGACCACATTCAACCACACATGCGCAACTCCACTGGCTTCCAATATCCTCTCGCATCAAGTACAAGTCTGCCAATCTTTGCTTCAACTCGTTCACTGACCCTCACTTTCCTGTCTATCTCTCTGAACTGTTGCTTCCTTACATCCCCACAAGACAACTACGTTCTTCCATTGACAGTAGAACCCTCTCAATCCCAAGAACCAAAACTAAGACCATCGGTGAACGCTCCTTCTACTTCCATGGGCCCACGTTCTGGAACCAGCTCCCCTTCCATATCCATCATTGTGAAACCTCGTCCACTTTTAAAAAGTCCCTTAAAACCCATCTGTTTAGGTCCGCCTATGACCTGTGATGCACCCTCCTTGCCCT